TCGGATACTGAATAATACGGAAAGCTCTTTTTTGAACTTTTTCAATTTTATTCCCCAAACACTTTGGTAACGTGGTGTGCCAGACAGGACAGGCATATTCTAAGATAGAGCGCACCATAGAAAAGTAGACTAATAAGAGGTCATTGGGGGGAAGACCACAGCGCTGCAGAACACGAATAATGTATAAGCGTTTTGAGGCTTTTTTAACTAATGCTTCAGTGTTATCTTGCCATTTCAATTTATTGTTCATGGTTAAGCCACTATCATTTCTTTGCATTTCTTTCCGTTCAATTTCATGTTGTTATTAACAGTCCATCTTTCTGGTGTCTGGGGACACTGCAAAGACAGTTCAGGTTTATGAACAGTAAATGTCAGACTAGAAAAGCCTTCATATTACTTTAAATTGTTGTTTTACTTGTGTTTAATAAGATTATATATAAGCTTACTATGCTTTGATATTAAGTAAAATTGAAAAACGTGGTCATTGTCTTTATTGCGTTTATCGCGATATTATCGAATATCGTGATAATTGCCTCGACAATAATCGTGAGTTGATTTTTTTAATATCGCCCAACCCTACCCAGGATACAACTACTGTATCAATGACAATGTGTATTAAAGAAGACACCTCTCAGTTGGGAAATATGATGTGTCATGTTTCGCTCGCTACTCTGGTTTAAATAAATGATCAGATTACAAAGCCCAGTCGAATTGTAATCAAGACCCAACGTTTCGACACTCCAGTCTAGTGTCTTCATCAGGGGTGATCTGAAACTGCGATCGAGGCTTCTTAAATACCCAAGGGATGACGTCACCTGCCAAGAAGATGCATATATTCTTCTGGCAAATAGGCGCCGTCATCTCTATTCAAAGCATGATGACTCATATTTATATGCCACGCTTCTAGGCAAAGTCTTTGACCATAGTGATTGTTTGTGGTAATTACTTTAGAGTTTTCCCACGAAATCTCGTGTTTGGTGTAACATACATGTTCGGCTAAAGCTGATTTTCCCTTGTCTAAAGTTGAAACAGCCTTTTGATGTTCTTTTAGCCGTGTACCAAACTGGCGTTTAGACTGACCCAAATACTCTTTGAAGAAGCCACGATCGCAGTTTTAGATCACCCCTGATGAAGACACTAGACTGGAGTGTCGAAACGTTGGGTCTTGATTACAATTCGACTGGGCTTTGTAATCATTTATTTAAACCAGAGTAGCGAGCGAAACATGATTGATATACCTGGTTGCAGTGAACGAACAAACTTTAATATGATGTGTGTTGTGGAAAATATAATTGTTTTTATGAATAATTGAATATTTTGAACTTCAATACTGGGCAACGCCGAAGAGGATTGTCTACGTATGTCGACCATGAAAAAGTCGCATAGGATGTTATCAATAAAAATATGGTGAAGAAAATTACTATGATATATCACACTGGAGTTTCAAAGTGTTGTTCTCGGACCAACAGCTAGACTATAAACTTCCACAGCTGGCTCGACAGATGTGATTTGAACTAGTCTGCGACTTCGCATTTCATTACATTAGTGCGTTAAATACTGTATATATGAATGAACGTGAAGACATGGACATGGACAAAGTCATGTAATCTTTCTTCACATCTGATGAATTTTGGCAAATATGTGTCAGTCCTTCTATTGATCTGTTGCAATTGCAGTTCATTATTAAAAGTACGGCCGGCCAAAACAATATAATTATAGGACACTTTGTTTATGTCTATACCGCTCTACAGCAAAATTAACACGCCAACGATCAATAATTGCATGTATTGGGAACAGCCTGGTCCTGAATCCGATTGTAAACCTGTCACGGAACTAAAGTTAAATCTGATAGTTGAAGATCCTAGCGTAACTATTCGCAAAGCAAATTCACTTTAGTTAATATGTACGTACATTAGCAATCTGTTTTCTAGTAAGTAGTTTGTGTTTGTATTATACAGAGTGTGAAATTGACATCAATTTTATAGTTAGTAGCAGTTTCGGTTACATTATTTCACCGTAAACCAGTGGGTATGACTAATTAACGGAACTGCAGACCACGGAACTGCGGAACTTGATAATATCACCTTTTTCTTCTTGTACAACCAGTCTTTCTTCAATAATTTGTTTGTTTTTAGTGTTGGTTTACACGATTCTTTTTTTGTTTCGCTGATACACCTATTTTGGCTGACACAGGCTGAGTCGGCCTTCTGTGTGTCGTTATTCTGTGTCACCGTAGCCTGCGTGTCAGGCTCTATGCTTGAAATTGTTTTCGAGTAAAAAAACTTGAGTAAAAAATGCCTAAAACGCACGACTGAACGTTTTCAAAATAAAATTTATATGTTTCAATTTGCTTTCTTAACCTTGCTGGACACCTAACTTTTTTTATTACTCATAATTATGTGTAAAAATTTCCCGAAAAGACAGGACCACTGTTGTGTGTTTCGTAGATTGAACTATTGAAGGCCAAAAGCCAACAATCCTTTCGTCTTTCCAGGACCTAGGTTGGTATATAATATATAATCTATTATAAAGAGTTATTTTCAAGTTTAATAACACGTTTATGTTTCCTGGAGAATGATAGACAGCCAAAAACTTGATATAAACCATTCCTATATCTTTTTTACATTTTACTTTAACTATTTGATGCTTATATGTTTCATCTACTTAAGTTAAAGCATTAAGACAACAATATCTACCAACCTCCATCTCTCAAAGCTTCAATTTTCCGATTTTATCAAGTTTTGCCCACCAAAAGTCAAAACGACTTCGAAGCCGCGTCTATCAAAAATTTTCCACTAAAAGGCAAGTTAAGACCAATTAACTCTGCAAAACGGTGGGAAAAAGAGCTAGATGTACATTTTAATTTGGCATTTTTTAAACATCTTTTGCGATTAAACTTGCTGTTTTCCTTTCTTATATTAGTTAAAATCCAATAATAAAAATCCAGCAATAACTTTTTAAAACTTTGCCGTCGGTGGCAGAGTCACAGATGATAGATTATAGCAGATGTCTCACTCAGCCAAAATTGTGTCCGCGATTTTTTATGAGCACGCGTTGGCCGCCATTTTGGCAGTAAGTGTAATCCATAGAAATAGGAGATCTAGATTGTTGACGCATACCTAGCGCAGGCGGGGCCTACATAATAAATCCAAGATGGTGGTATAAGAGGGCAGAAAGACTATAGATTCTGTTACGAAAATCAGGATTTTTTGCAGTTTTTGCCGTCGCATTGTTTCGAAACTTATTCGATCAAGTTTTATGGTAAAGAGAAATTACCGCGAAGATTTTGAGCATATATATAGGCCTAATTGAATTGGATGAAAACTCGCAAAATTATCCATCGATAAAACTGTTCGTGTGAAATGATCACTTGGTCAGTTCGAGCGTTTCTTTGCCAGAAATACTGTGCTATGTTAACATCTAGCCTTGTGAATGGTGTTTTATACTGTTTAAACGTGAAATTTAGTTTAGGATCATATACTTCCCGCCGTTGTGAACGTAAGATTGGTTTTTAACGTCAAAACACACCGTTTAATATTTTTATAGTTTGCTAGTCGTTTCCAAAAAGGATGAGTTCAGACTACCATAGCTCTTGAAGGAAATCAGACTGGTTGGCATGGAAGAGCATGATATATTGACCATATGTGTGATCAGGCAAGGAAGGTTGGCTGTTATTCTCTACAACCAAGGCTGCAGCACACTTCAGGCAATTGGTTATCATCTTGACAATATATTCACATGTATGGCAAACTCAACATGAAAAAAATAATTTTAAAAATGTTTATAAAATACAAATAATGTACTCAAATGTTTATAAAATACAATTCCAGTTAAGTATTATGCATACTGAAAAATACAAAAACAATGTGGCAATTAGCTAAATGACAGATACAAGAACACAATTATAATTTTATATTGAAAAAGAATATAGTTACTGTCATAAGCATGATTTTTATCCCAAAATATCAGCTATTGGATACCTATCTATAAAAGACGTAAAAACATAAATCCATTCAAAATACACTAAACAATCTTGACTGGACAGTATAAATACAATATGTCCATTTCATGATTCCAATTCTTGGGCATTCTTGACCTGAACGAATACGACTACCACAATTATTTCTCATGCTATTTCTGTTGACTGCTTTCACAATGTTTGTTGCAAGTATAAAACACCATTCACGAGGCTAGATGTTAACATAGCACAGTATTTCTGGCAATGAAACGCTCGAACTGACCAAGTGACCATTTCACTCGAACTTTTATCGATGGATAATTTTGCGAGTTTTTTCATCCAATTCAATCATATATATGCTCAAAATCTTCCAGGTAAGTTTCTCTTTACCATAAAACTTGACCGAATAAGTTTCGAAACAATGCGACGGCAAAAACTGCAAAAAATCCTGATTTTCGTAACATAATCTATAGTCTTTCTGCCCTCTTGTACCGCCATCTTGAATTTATCATGTAGGCCCCGCCTGCGCTAGGTATGCGTCAGCAATCTAGATCTCCTATATCTATGGTGTAATCCGGTCCACGCCATGAAACGTGAGCCAATCACGCATTTTGGCAGTAAGCGCCATTTTGGCAGTAAGTGTCCCACGCGTCATCTGGCGTAATCCCACCACCATGTACGATTCTTTTTTGCCACTCTCTCTTTCGCAGCATACTATTTAGATTCTTTAATTATAGTTAACGTTGAGTTTTCTAGCTCAATGCATTGCTTTTAATATACATATTGCTATGAAGTATAACATTCTCCCTTATTGACATGATTAACAACTGGTTGCAGGCACTGGATAGCCCAAAACGGTATCTACGTATCTGTTTTTTGGATTTCTCCAAAGCTTTTGACAGAATCCACCATAACATTTTGATTGCGAAACTCATAGCCCTTGGAGTAAGAAGATGTATGATCCCATGGATATGTGATTTTCTTTTAAATCGTCGTCAGGCAGTGAAGATTAATGAGTCTCGCTCGGAGTGGGCTTATGTAAATGGCGGTGTCCTCAAGGAACAAAACTTGGCCTATCTTGTTTTTAGTTATAATTAATGATCAGAAAATGAAGTCCCTAAGCTCCTCTCATTGGAAATACGTTGACGATGTAACGATTTCTGAGGTTATAAAAGAAACTGTGGAATCGCGATTACAAACTGAACTCAATGAACTCCAACAATGGGCATGTGAGAATGATATGAAACTGAATGGGTTAAAATGCAAGGAAATGATTGTCAGCTTTTTACGACAAAGTGATAACTATACTCCATTACACATTAATGATCAACAATTGGAACTGGTTACATCTTTCAAGATTTTGGGTTTGACTATTAATAATCACTTTAAATGGAATGATAACGTTGCAATTATCGTAAAAAAAGCGTCGAAACGCCTTTACATCCTTCGGGTGTTGCGTCGATCTGGAATTCCATCCGCTGACTTGCTCTCAATCTATAACGCCTTAATCAGATCTGTTTTGGAATATGCTTGTGCAGTTTGGCATACCAGCCTACCTCTGTATCTTTCCAACAAAATTGAACGGGTGCAGAAACGTGCTCTGCGAATTCTGATTATGCGGGGCCCTATCTATCAGTCGTTGTTCTCGCCTTGATGATAGAAGGCAGTCAATATGTCAGAATACCTTACAAAAGATTGCTAAGCCTTGCTCGAAACTGTACCACTTGTTGCCGTCAACTCGCGGAAACGTCCATGGACGGAGTTTGAGAAATAATAATCAATTATCGCTTCCCAAATATAGAACTGAGAGGTTTAAGAACAGTTTTATCTCGGCAATGTGCTATAGTCAAGTTGAAGTATAGGCCTTTATGGTCTTAACTTGTATATTAGGTTTTAACATTTATATTAGATATAGTAATTCATATTTTAGCATTTTTGTAAATTTTAGTATATTTCCATGTAAGCATATTGTAATTCATTTTCAATGCGATAATATGCAAATAAACCATTAATAATAATAATAATAATAATAATAATAATAATAATAATAATAATAATAATAATAATAATAATAATAATAATAATAATAATAATAATAATAATAATAATAATAATAATAACATTTGGTGGGACCTGGAGAAGTTCCAGTCGGCAAGTATGTATCACTGCAACTACCTGCAGCATATATATGCATGGTTTAACTAATAAGTACACGTCATAGGGCAGCAGATCAGGCCATAACTAGGATTCTGAGACAACCGAGTCGACCACCGAAGGTGCGAGCCTCTAGAGGAGTCTGGGGGCATGCCCCCCTGAAAATTTTGGATTTCTTGAAGCTCAGATAAGTTATTCCAGCATTTTGAGGAATTTTCCAACAAGAAATTAACCTTACACTAGTCCCTAAAAATCAAACCAGCTGATCTTCTGGGACTGGTCAAATCGATCCCTGCAACCGTGCTGTTTTGCAACATTTTTTTCCCACCAAATACTGTAGCAGGATATCCCCCCCCCCAGTTTGTTAGTGCAGGTATTTTTTTGTTCAGAATAGCCTTGCAGGGAATTTTTTTCAAAATCACCCCCCCCCCCCTCACAAAGTGAAACTGTGCAACGAACTTTAGAGCGTACGGCCAAATACGTTTTTAGATCGAGTATTGCTTTCCGATTTCCAAATTGGAAATTGGAAATCCGATTGCCGGTTCACGTAGAAATATTCCGCAGAATACTTATTTCACGTAGAAAGTCATCGATGTCCTCTTGAGTGCGCCAAGCGAGATAGCCTGAGATATCTTTACTGTATATAAGTTATTTACATAGAATGCGCAAGCATACCGTTCTATATGTATGCTATGAGAAAGCTATACATTTTAGAATATGAGGTAATTATAATGTTGTCATTTAGCGTGCTATGTTTATGTAATGATATCTGGGACGTAAGTGAACTTGCGTAACGCATGTACTATATTGAGAAATGCGACTGTAGTGCGTAACTAGTAGCCTGCGTGGCAGGCGGTATTCGTGGGCACGACAGAATGGGAAGCTAGAAGCTACGTACCACAGTCGCACCTTGCTAGCTAGTGCAGAAGTGAATGAGTATTAATGTAAATGATTCATTAACGTAATAACATGGAGGACAACGAGCATGGCGACAAGATCGTGCTCTTCGGAATTCCTTCAATTTTTTTTCTCCGTTTTCCCCGACGAATCTGTTAATTTTCCCCGAGGGGGGCTATGGCTCCCCGACAGGGGGACTGTAGCTCCCCCCCCCCCCAGCCCCTCCTTGGCGCCACCACTGCTACAATCTATCATCTGTGGCAGAGTGGTCAAAACAAAAAAGGGCCTGGATCCCAGTCGTATCGTAATTAACTATATTATTAATTAACTTAGCACTAATACTCACTAATTAATTATCTCAGTAATGTATTATCATAACTTAACATAATTAACAGTTGTTTTCCCATATATCTTGTAAACAAAGTAGAGTTGATACTGGGGTATTAAATATAAAGCAAGACACGAAAGTGGCGACGAGGATAAAAACTTAAATATCGCAAGATCGAGAGAACATCAAAACAAGATTCAGGTAACAAACTAAAGCAATTTTGTCGTACAATAAGAAATGTTAAGTGATCAGCGAAACGAATCACCCGAAAGTCCTCAAGCAGCGACAAGTTCTACAACACAACAATCAGTAATAGTACCCCGTAGTGGTTTACCGCCGTTTCCCCCGTTTGACCCGCTTTCAAATCCAACAAATACTGGTCTTAGATGGCGAAAATGGCTTCCCCGGTTTGAAAATCTCCTAATAAGCCTTCGTGAAACCGATCCAACCGTTAAAAGAGGTCTTTTGCCAACGTATGTAGGAGAAACAACGAACGATATTTTTTATACATTGCCAAGCACTGACACAGACTATGACTCAGCTGTACAAAGTTTAACCGAATGTTTCGACCCAGCTATTAATAAGGACATGGAAATATATGAATTTCGTCAAATTACTCACTCATCAGGAGAAACACTCAACGAATTTTACCGCCGTTTAAAGTGCATATGACATTAATACCATTTTTTCACCAAAAATCAGCAAAAATTAGACAATTCGAATGATATATATCATTCCTTGATCGGATAAATACTTCCAGAGATAATTTAGATCAAACAGGCAAAAAAATAGGGTTTTTCAAGACATGGCCGGGAGAAAAGAGGCTGAGTACGAATCAGGTTTGTGATGTCACACCGGGGACGGAAGTGAATCGACTCATGTTGTATTACAATAAATATCTATTGTGTGCAATGAAAATTTGTATACTTTGCGCTTCGAAATGCCTGTTAGATATGTTGTATACGGTTGTTACAACACAACAGATGCTGCAAATCAAATAGCTCTACATCATCATATTATGGAGATTTTCAGCTGCAGTCATTAAGGAGAAGGAAACATTGGATAGATTTGGATAAATTGAAGCGAGCCAGATCGGAGCCGTCTGTCGTCAATTGTCAAAGGCATGTTTGCACAAAGACATGCATTTCATGTCGAGGCTAAAAGAATGCACATTTCCTCGACTGAATGAGATATGAAATTGGGATTAGCGTTTATCTGACGGTACAAACTGCGGTCGAAAGGCAGGTGGACATATAATAATGCTACTAAAAATGCGAGGATGATTTTATATGCACGCAAGGTGAGATAATGTCTTATATTGCCTTTAATATATTTGATTTTATATTTGTTGAGAATGATAGTATTGGATATTAGGAATAAAAGGAACTTTATGATTTAATACAATTGTATTATACTACATTAAAATTAGATAAAAGTTCTTTAAACGTTTGTTGTTAAAACAGGACCCAGTATTAAAATATTCAATGTTCATATTTGAGTGCATCTATAATCAATACTGCCCCAACTGCATTCGATATTTCAATGTTACCAATGTCCTGGAGCCTCGTAAACATAGTATTGCCAGGGGCGGACTGGCCCACAGGGATACCGGGAAATTTCCCGGTGCGCCCCCGATTAAAATGTTCTTTGGCGCCCCTATTTTGGAATTTTGTAGATAATTTATATGTTATTTTGGTAATGGTATTTGTTCACGCCCAGTCTAACAAAGACATAAGTTCTCTCACTAATTCGAAAATGGTTAATGCTCGACGGCGCGATGTTCAAGAAAACATTCGTCTCTTAGAAAGAATATTATCTGTAATCAAACACCTTGCTAAACGATCCTTTTCATTCAGAAGACACCGAAACGAGTCTTCACACACTTTAGATGATAGATCAGTTGATCATGGCAATTTTTTAGAAACAATCCTTTTGATTTCGGAATTTGATGTACCTTTAAACAGTCATGCATGTACAGGAAGCAATTCATAAAAGTAAGAAAAGACGAGAAAATTTGAAACGAAAAGGCAAGCAGAATAGTCGTCGACGTGGAAATTTAGTAGCAATGCTTTCAAAATCCCAGTCAACAAAATTTTGCTAGCAATTTTAAACATCATCAAATCAAAAATTATTCAAGAGATTGGAGAAAAGAAGTTTTCAGTAGAGATGGGTGGTACACAAGACATCGCCACGGTGGAACAGGATCGGAAACAATAATTTTGCGTTATGTTCTTGGCCTGGAAGTCAATAAATCAAAAGTTAATGATGGATCAGCAGCTGTATTTTTCAACTTTTGAAGACAAATGTTGAGCAACAAGGTCTAAAGATGGAAAATATTATTGGTGAATCATTTCATGGAGCATCAAATATGCGTAGGGAGTTCGGAGGTGTACAGAAGCTGATCAAAGACGTTTCGCCAAATTCGTTGTACATATGGTGCTACGCTCATGTGCTAAACCTTGCTGCTCCAGATATGGTAGAAAACATAACCGAAGTGAAAATTTGATCAGCTTGCTTCAAAGCACCGTAACGTTTTTTTTTTCAGATTCGTGCAAACGAATGAATGTTTGGAGCAGGATAAAGATTGACGAAGCAGTTGGTTCAGCAAAGCTAAGGAAATTGCAGAAGATTGGTGACACGGCTATATGGTTGCCTAAGCAGGCAGTATTAGAAACAATTTTTTGTCCGTATATAACAATTAAAAAACGGAACATATTTTGTCATGCTAAAGGTACTGAATGATATTGTGAATCTGCCCAAATTCAATGCAAAGGCATCTATTGAGGCCTCGACGTTGCTTGAAAAATGGTTACAATTCAGTAACATTTTAACTGTGTATTTTCTACTTCTTTTGCGTAGTATGTTTGCAAGCATCCGATTACTTGCAAACAAGTGGTTTGGATTACCTTAGTGCTTGGAACATGGTGCAGTCATCAAAAGACGAGATACACAGAATCTCATATGACACCACTGTATGAAGCATCAATTAATTTTACCCAGTCAATGAATGCCAAACTGGCTGAAGACGATCTTGACAACATTAAAGATGAATCGAAACTAGAAGATTCAAGAGTAATGGAGAGCAAGCATCTGATATGCTAGCCGAGGATCCAATTGTGCGGTTTCGTGCAAACGTTTTCAGACGAGTAGTTGACCAGATTACGACTAGTATTGACCAATGCTTTAGTCAAAACGGTCAACTGATTAAAGATACAGCATATCTTGATCCACGACGATTTGATGAAATAGTCTTGTCTGGGGTTTCTGAAAACAGCCTTACTAAAGTTGCTAAGATAACTGGCGTTGACCCTTTGTCACTGAAAGAAGAATTATGCTGTTTAGCGAGAAATTTCACGGTGTTATCACGATCACTTCCTGATGAGTCTGAAGGTGCTTCTGATGACGTTGCCACCATGACCAGTACCAATGAGGAGGAGAGCAGTGAAGAGGAGAGCAGTGATAATGAAGACGGTTGTGTCAGCAAGAATCCAGTACTAAGAAATCGAAATGCTGCTCGCAAAGGAAACTGTAAAAAGTGTCTTGCTTGCTGTCACAAAATCCTCTTCAAGTGCTCAATCATCACTTCAGCTCTAACAAATTTGTTTGTTGTGTACGAATATTTGTTGACATTGTCATTTACGCAAGTTAACTGTGAAAGGGCATTTAGCAAGTTGAAACAAATAAAAACTAGATTAAAATCAAGTTAGCGAATGATAAGTTGGAAGCTGTAATGCTAATGACAAGCGAGAAAGACTTCCTTGATAACATTACTGTACATGACATAATTGCTATTTTAGCTAAAGCGTCTTCAGTGTTACGTCAAATGCTTGTTATGTCTGATGAAATAAAATAAAGTTGTTTTACTGCTCGTTAACAATTTTTATTTGTAAAGCAGCGGTTCTGAGAATAGGCGAAATGCCAAATGTTATTTTTGTGCATATGTTTAGTTTTCACTCCGAAATACGGATCCGAAATAATGCACAGTTTGCACACAATTTCTATGTAGCTGTTGCTCACGATAGCCATACAAGCGGCGCCCCCTTTCTGAGTTTTCCCGGTGAATTACGTATAGGCCAGTCCGCCCCTAAGTATTGCAGATATTAGCAGAGTGTATATCATGCAATATAAAAGACATTGTCTAACCTTGCGTCTAATTCGCCTTTTAATCTAATTTTAATGTAGTATTAGGCCATATAAAATAAATTCCTTGATTCTCATCATCGCCCGACGATATTTTGGTTTCCGCGTTGATATATTTTTGTATTTTGTTATAAAATATAAATTTACCGCCCGACCGAGCATCTTCAGACATTTAGTTATTTTTATATTTTATATTGGAATTTTTGCGATATAAAATTGTTTTACCGTTAATATTGCAACATATTAAGGGATGCTTGGAATACTGAAGGAAAAAATGGGCTTATAGCTTTATTACAACGATTTGTGTGGACCCTTATGCATGTTCATTAGCGCATGTGCAATTATCCGCTTATATAGCGTTCTTCTATAATATATTTAAGGGCAAATATAAAAAGACCTCCCTCTCCAATTTTTTAAATTTTAAACTTTTTTTTTATATTTTGACATAAAATATAAAATATAAACCTCCCGCCTCCTGGGAGTTTTTAAAATTTAGCGATGAGAATCAAGGAATTTATTTTATATGGCCTTATACAATTGTATTCAATAGAATCTTTGTAGTGGAGGTACACGCAAGCCTATAAAAGATCAAAATATCTTCTCGACGTTTCGAGCAAAGGCCATTCGTCAGGAGCGACGCTGAACAACCACAAGACTTATGTATTTAATAAAGTTCCTTTTATTTTTAATATCCAATACTATCATTCTCAACAAATATAAAACCAAGTATATTAAAGGCAATATAAGATCCTGAAAAAGCATCACAAAGTGTTCCAAGGGATGGGAAACCTTAAGAATTGCGAAGTCAAGTTAGAAATCGACCCTACTGTTTCCCCCGTCGCTCAGAACAGCCGACAACTGCCTCACAGCATGCGAAAGAAAGTGAATGAGAAACTCTACGAGATGGAAGAGCAAGGTATTATTGAAAAGGTGAAAGGAGTGACTCCATGGCTATCACCTCTAATACCCATACTAAAGAAAGGCGGAGACCTTCGACTTGTTCTTGACATGAGAGTCCCTAATCAAGCCCTCAAACGACGCCGAGTGCAATTCCCCCACCGCAGACGACATCTTACACAAAATGGAGGGTGCAACAATTTTCACAGAAGTAGATCTTTCTCAAGGCTACTTACAAATATCATTGGCTGAAGAATCACGCCCCATGACTGCATTCCAAACACCGACAGCTGTTAAAAGGGAAAACCAAGTTCCATTGGGGAGAGGAACAACAAAGCAGTTTCCTGAAACTAAAGTATTCCATCACCAGAGCCCCAATCCTAGCTCATTATTCCATTTCAGCACCAACTCGAGTAGTCGTGGACGCATCACCTTGGGCTGTTGGCGCAGTGCTCCTCCAACAACAATCTGATTGCACCTACCGCCCCATTGCATTTGGAAGTCGTTCTCTTACCGGAGCCGAAATGAAGTATTCACAAATTGAGAAAGAGGCGTTAGCCATTGTATTTGGATGCGAACACTTCCATCTATACTTATATGGCAAGTCATTTGAAATGGAAACCGACACCGCCCACTTGAGTACATATTCAAGCCCAAATCAGCCGAAAAACGAGCGCCAGCACGAGTAGAAAGATGGCTACTTAGATTACAGGAATACGATTTCACCGTGATATACAGATCAGGTCCACAAAATCTAGCTGATGCACTATCTTGGTTATCCAACAAGACCCCGAGAAGTAATATGGAAAGCTGTGCAGATCGATATGTCCACTACCTCGCAGAGCAGTTAACGCCTATTGCCATGAACACTGAAGAGATCCGAGAACACTCGAAAACTGATCCCGAATTGATTCAAGTTCGACAATGCATCGAGAACAACCAAGCCCATAAGCTTCCACCACAATACAAACCCCTTGAGCAAGAATTGAGCATCGCAGACAATATCATACTACGTGGCAATCGAATTATCCTGCCAACAAAATTGCGAAGCAAAGCAATCAAATTAGCACACGAGGATCATGCGGGTATGACGAAAACGAAACAACGCATCCGCTCTAAGTTGGCCTCAAGAAAATGGTCAAATTGAGAGATATGATTCAACCAAGTTATACTCAAGCACGTCCTTACCTCAAACACAACTGGAAGAGATTGGCGAAAATCCCTACCAATGATGGTGCGAAACTGCCGTACAATGCCTCATCAATCCACCGGACAAACCCCAGCGATGATGTTGATGCATCGGGAACTTCGTACCAAACTACCAAGTGTAAAATCAAGTAAATCGT